ATAAATATAAGTCAAAAGTAGTTGTTCACTACGTAATAAATAAAAAAAGTGATTTATATACAAGTATCCTTTGGCAAATTTTCTTTTCTTCCAAATAATTTATCCCCATCATCGTAAAATTAGCATAAACGAAATTGTCGAAATTTCTGTTCATAATTTAATTTCAAATACAAAAATAATATCAAATATATCAAACGATATCAACATTAATTTACATCCCCAATTTCCTCTTTTCTGCGATAAATTAAGAATATTCCATATATAAGGTAAAGTGAAAAGTTGAACGTAATGAGTATTGCACTATGCACTAAAAACGAATAATGTTTCAGTGGGGAGCAGGGAAAAATGTTGAAACGTAAACCTTAAATGAAATACACACCCCAAGAGGGATGAAATGTTACCGGATAAACAGAAGCCACACGAAATGCAACTTCGTTTAATTCGAACGCCTAATGTTGCCAATTTTGTAGTTTTGATCTCACGATGGGGAAAATATAACGAATATTATCCTTTTGTTCAGAGTTCCTGGAACCACGCCCAAGCAGGAAGTTCTCAGATCGATATCAAGTATATGTGTCGTCTGTGAGTGTTTCCATAATCTTCTTAAAAATCTTATAAATTGTGTGGGTTTCATGTCTCTTAAAAACAAATATTGCACAATATTAAGGGGAATACTCCGTATGCAAAACAGATCACGAAATTTCAATATTTCACATACTTCATGGTCATTTCTCTTTGAAGATTTGTTCAGCGTTTCATTTTAGCATTTTCTTACTTGCATAAAAAGCAATAAAAATAGATACAAATTTTAATTTGATAACAAAAACATATATTTTTCTTACTACTTTTTTTTTTTATCAATTTCACAGATTCTGACGGATTTGTTATCACACTTATCGTTGGCTTCGTGCCATTCTCATTTTGTTTCAATCCATTCTACACCTGCTCCGCCAAGAAAAACATTCGGTATTATTTTGATTATGAATATTTTTTAAGGTTATTTTTATTTCAGTATTTTCTATGCGCAGGACTCAACCTATATATTTGCTGCAGTTAAATGGAAAATATTGTAATGTTGTTAACTGCTTCGTACTAGAATATTTTCTGTAGATTTTGACAAGTACATAGCCATCATCATTACACTTATTGTAAAGAAGAAACATCTCCAGTTGACCTTGTTGCTACGCTTCAACTGAGGAATGCGCGGAGTGAGTAAACATGCAATAGGGTCAGTTTTATTTGATATTAATAAATGTAAATTTTATTGTCAATATTTCGTAAAATTCGTTTGTAAATATATTTTTTCGTTAAATATCCTTCTTCTATTTTTCAACATTTCCAAGTATTACTTTTAATTGATTGTTTGTCTATGCTTCTTCTATATTTTGTACGATTTCATATTTATCCTATCGATTTGAGTTATCTGCACCACTGACCACGCTCATAGGGTCTATATAGACATGTGTACCAAATAAGGATGTGCTAAAGCAGATTCAGAACGGGCACGTAGTCCTAGACGCTACGTTGCGCAAACAGTACCCATCTACTACTCGGTAAGGACCCTCAACCATATTTGTCTGGAAAGTCAACTGTTAACTACACTTCCACCAGTTCATGAATCAGAAACTCGTATTGACAACATTGAAATCTATATATGCGTCGTACTAATGATCTGTTACTAATTTCTCTACAACATCAGCGTCAATCAACTAAACAAAAATTACAAAAGAACCTAATTACATTTAACTGAAAAAATCTGCGACAGTAAGCCTACCAATATACAAGTCACAAATTCACAGTGCTCACGTAAATTCATGGCTGTCGTTCAAGGTGTACTTTTTCCTTGTCTACGTTTGTTGGGCAGCATTATTTCCACTCCGAAAGCACCCGGATATTTGGAACGGCTAATGTAAAATAGAGCTGGTAGCTGGGATTTTCTTATGTATAATTCTGTATATCTGTTGTTGATGTAGGAGGGGTCGTTAGGGGTGGAATCAAATTTTCGTTGCATACTTTGGGTACGAGAGCTTTCTTCTCTTCCCGAGTGCTGTTTCGTTGGCTTCAAACAGAATACTCTATATACATAGAACTCGCCCGATAGCTTCTAGAAATAATCCATAACACTGTACTTTGTATTGGTTCCATCGCCTATAACGTATAACATTTTGCTTAGTTATACACTACAGTAGGGTGGGTTTTTATTTTAATAATTTTTGAAATTTAAGTTACGCACCGCCTAAATACTTTGCAAATATATAAAAAAAAATTCCTGTAATATTTGGGCTTTTAACTTTGGCATTGACACGCCCTCCAAACCTTCGAATGTTTTAAATGGAAAATAGATGTAATTTTTTTTTTATAACTTCGGTGAAAATCGATGAAACGATTTGAAATTTGCCAGAGTTGTTATTTACAATAATAGGAACAAGTCCTGAACATTTCAAATATTTATTTTAATTGTTTCCTTACATATAAGGTCAGTAAATATGAAGCTATTTTCTCTTCTTAAAATATTCTGTAATATTATTTCAAATGTTTAAAACACAAATTATTTTCTATAAAAGTTTCACGAATAAAAATTTTTCTTCGGGTAGTTGAAAAATGTAGTAAATCAAAATTCTTCTTTCAATAAAAATTCAGATTTTATCCAATAACTAATTATATATGTATGTAAATTCATACGAGCATCATTGTTTATTAGAGCACTTCGCTTGTTATCCAGGTTAAGGTATATGCGAGAACAGAATTATTTATTAACAATATGGTAGACCAGCGTGAGGAAAAATAATATCACAGATGTTGCCTTCGAGCTTTACTAACGTGCTCATAAGTTAGTTGAAAAAGCACGTTGCAACGGATTTCATATTATATATTTTAGTTATTCGGAAAATATATTCAGGAGATTTACCAGGTCTCGTTATTACAGGAAAGGTCTGTTGGATAAAACAACGAAGAATATTTTATGTTACTGGTGACATTACTGTTTTCAACATTCCATGGAAGTTGTTTTAAATATGTTATATACTTGTTTGTAAAATCTATTTAAAATAGGTGATGTGGGGACTTACTTCTTCTGTGTTTTTATAATTGTTAAAAATGAGAAAAATATAATTTCCCCTTTTATCATAAATCTGTTTTAATGGCCATAAAATTATAGCGTGTGAGATAAAATAAAGGAAAAAGATTTCATCTTATTACTGACGTTACTTTTTCCAAGATTTGTTACATTTTGGAACTATTTTTATACAAAAATATTATATAGTTGCTCCTTAAATTTGGTTATTAAACTAGATTTTGTGAACACTTCCTTCTTCTTTGTTCTTAATATTCTTATCATTATTTAGTTCAACCAAAATATAGTTTTCTCTATAGTTTTCATGATAAATTTTCTGAACACTCAATTTTCGTTGTTTTCCACTTCGTTTTTGAATGACTGCTCAACCTAATCCACAAGTGGATAGTGCTCTTTCGGAAAATACCTTTCGGATGTTGGTCAGTGAACGTGTGCAAAATTTGAAAGTCCTTCGAATACACGGAATTTCCGCTGGCAGGGCACGTCTAACCCACGCAAACATGTAAATTAGATTAGTTTGCGTCCGCGGTTACACACGTTGATTGTCGACAATTCCTATGCCTACGGAATTTACCACCTACTCGTTACCCAGGCGCATATGCCATGATCTTAACGAAAAAATTGATCATACTGTCGTGCGTGCTGCTTAATTTCATCAAGTCAGCAAAATGAACGATATCTATCTTAACGAGATGCGTAATTTCACTGAAGCATATGAAAGTAGATCCATTCATGAGTTTATTCAGAATGTACCGTGAGTCTACATTTCTTTTTAAAAAGTAAGCTTTTACGATCAATGCTTGAGAACATTTTCAATTCGACAAATTCAGTCGTTAAACACAGCAAGAAAAGTGTCATGAATAATCCAAGAACGTGAATAATTTTTCACAAAAATTGCGCAACGTTCCTGACAAACGCGATGAAACGCGAAGGAGAATTTACGTATTCTTTATTTCGGCATCGCATGAAACTACGCATTGTTTTCAGTAAAAGAGTTACGTTGAAGAATTAAACAAAGAAAACAGAGAATAATTGAAGCCAAATGTTACAAAGAGAACGAATTCAGGACTTTTCGCGCTGTGAAAATGCTTCATCGAACAAAAGATAAAGAAAGCCAAGAGAGGACGAAAAATGTGGGAAAAGATCTAACAAAAGACCTCGGATCAGGAACGATACATACAGAAATTTTCAAAAGCTGATGTAACGCAGAAGCCGAGGAAAAGAAAGGAATAAGTGTAGAGAATAAAAGACGATAGATAAAAACGGGCTTACCCGTTCAAAGAAAAGATGTCACAGTACATAGAAAAATAAAACCAGCGCAAAATCCAAAGTATCGATTAGGTATAGGAATTAATTCTGTGCCTTTGCATTCAATTATTTGTAACTGTAGTTTAAGTAAAAATATCTACTTTTCATTTAATTATAATAATGTTCATTATAATGTAACTAATCATTAATATAAAAATAATTATAAAAAATATTTCATATATAATAATAATTATGTTTTCGTACTTCAATTCAAACAATCTGGACAATTATAAACATAAAGTTCAACGGTCATAAAATTTGAGAATTATGCCTGACAACTGTCAATGCAAGAATAGTGATAATTAGTTAAAAAGAAAGTAGAACTTCACGTTACATGAAAATATTATTTATAATTTTCCGATTGCCTCGTTATTAATGTTAATTTAATCCGTTCTTATACACTTGAAAAGTCTCTGGTGTATACCAAGGATGGAAATATCTTTCGTCGATGAAACTTTCATAAGAATTTAACAGAGTATCAGGGAGCTCTTTAAATGCTAATTTTATTGTAATTAATGAAATATGAGTTCTGTAACATGGTTGTAAAATTATTAAAAGCTCTTTGAACTATACTCACTGCTCGCATAGTATTACTAATTACTCGCATAAAGCTACTCACCCTCTTAAATTTAGTGCACACGTCATCAACAATGTCTGTTCGTCATAATTTGAGCACTGCTCGCAACAATCTCACTTGATCTGTAACATAAAGAAGAAAAGAAAATTTACTTTTCTATCTACAACAAAAACTTGTTCAATAAGATTATGATGTACAGAGAAATGATTCTGAAATTGTATCGCGCGTATACGATTGCTATACAGTGTCAGAGTCGGCGACTATGTCTGATCATTACTCACTGTTTCTACTTGTGTCTGTCTCTAGAAACATTCTGATTCCACTGGAACAACAAACAGTTTCCAACCAGACGAAACATAGTAGCACCGACAGAAAACAGATACCACACCATCGTGTATATTTATAAACGTAAGTATTAATAACGAACGTGTTAATAAAAAAAGAAATGTTTTTAAAAAGATGCAAAACCTAACACAAGAGTTCCTAAATTTATTAAGCGACGATTGCAACGAAACAAAACAAACTACTGTTGTTATCGTACGAATATTAATTACATTTTTCTATTATAAAAATAATATAAACTTCGTTGAATTAAAATAAAATATTTATCCTGTTTTTAAAAATAAACGAATATTCTCTTTCTTCTTGTTACGTTATTCAGCTCTTCCTTTAATATTCTTATTAAAAATTGTAGATTATTCGGTAAAGTACTTTCAAAACAACTATTCAACTGCGCAATAAAATATCCCCGGTCACGACTCCACCTCGACTCGCCAAGTTAATAACTATTTTCCGCGAGACATCCTTTTTTAACGGCTCGTTCGTTTGCACCCTCTTTTCTTAGAAAGACCTGTCATTGCTGGACCTGATGACGCATAGCTCACGAGTCACAAGTTTTTCCACCGAGTCAAGATCTAACCGTTTTCTTTTACCTGGAGGCCACTTTCGCAATATTACACATTATAACAGAAAATTAAACAAATCATGACTGAACTACTCCATGCCTATTATTCATTCCGTGTAATATGCAATTATTGTTTAACAATTGAGAATATAATTTTTATGGAGTAAATTACAGATCAAAATTTCATCCTTTTCATTGTTATTTCATTTTAATTCGATTCCGTATAGAACAAACGATTCGATTGGACAAGGTGGTACAAACTATAGACTTGGCTCGCCACGAGGCGCCTCTATCTCTCTCGGTGATGCTTAATGCAACGACTATAACGTGTTAATTACTGCAATTGAATTCCAATATGGATCCATTAATTTGTCCAATCTGAATTACGAGTCGTTCCAAAATTGTCGTACCAGAGGGAAGGCTCAGTTTTCACGTTTGTCACGGAGATCGATGGCTCAGATGGCTATTGCGGAAACAGGTGCGCTACTTCTCAGTTTGTAATTGTCTTTGTGAACGAGGAAGTGAGCAATTTACACATTTGAGGGCGATCGTTAAAGGTGACCCGCGAATGGGAGCCGTTAACTGTGCCGTGAGATTTCTCAAAATCAGAGCTCCTACATAAATTACAATCACATTTTGTTTGCCGAAGAGAAATCTTGTTTGCTTTGTAGACAGACAGGGCCACTTTCGACGATGCATCACCGATCTAGAGAGAAGTTCAAGAAATCAGCGACAAAGGTGAATCGTGGTTGCCCGGAGGGAGTGAAGAGGAGCGTCATTTGTCAAGAGGAGAGGTCTTGTTGCGTTATAATATTTCCGGTGAAATTGCATGACAGGATTGCAGCGCAAGATATTTTACTCGTAGTCGAGGATGCTCTGACGCTACTTCTTGTCAATGTCGTGTGAACAGAGATACGGTAACCACCCGCTTAATTGTCGGCGAACGTGTACGTTTGTTTACAGTTATTATTTTCATTTATTGGAGGCCATGATTCTTACAATCATGACTTATATCAAATTTGCAATAAGGATCCATATATGTAACTTTACATGATAAAATGAAAAAACGTACATTTGCTAAAAAATATGTAAACGAAGATTCCAAATTCTTGAAAAATGTGATTTTTACGAACGAGTCGAAATTCAATGTCTGTACTTTGGATGGAATAGTAATACTGTGGAGAGAAGCGAATGTTGCAATGAATATTAAACATCTTCGATCCGCGACCAAAGGTGCACAGGGACAGAAAGGTGGATAATAAATTGTACGGGGTTATATATCATCCTCTAAATCGGAAATATAATTGTTTGTCAATGGAGATAGTGTAAAAATTTCAAAATGCTCAAAATTAGGGAGTCCATTCTACTCATAGCTACAAAGATTGCATGCATCGCTATGAGGCATTAACTAATGATATTTTAATTTAATATCATTTCACCTAACACATTCTCAAAGAAAGAATCTTTCTTGTGGAAAGAGAAGTCAAGACAAAACCCCATCGTTCCATCATACGAGAACGTGATCAAAGTTAATGACCCATTACGTAATATCAGCAGAGGATAAAATTGCGTATAAAAGCTGAGTGTACGCGAAGCAATGTTCGCTTTAACGTGGCTCGTAATTGTAAATTAACATTCTCGTGTGACTAACGTTAACGAAATTTATATCACGTTAACGGTTACTTCTATGCGCTATTCTATGAAACTGGATGAACTGGTTAAGCGAAGAACTTTTCTATTCGGCATTTTCACAAGTAACGAGCGAATAAACTTCGCCATAGAAACATGGAAAATAGAAATATTAAATGAAGAAAAATGTGATGCACAAAGTAAGGATTAATGTCCATTTTGAATATACTCTAATTACATATTACCATGAGTATAATATATTCCTTCAAACGAAACTAAGATGTCGTTTGTATTTCTAGCGAAGTTGCTTAATAAATGTTTCTAATAAGCAACTTTCTTCCCCGTAAGGTCGAAAACGACGCTTTACCCAAAGAAGGGGAGAGCTATAAACTTGATCAGTTGTTGAACTTAAATACAGAAATGCAATTACAACTTTGCCAATGGCAGAAAACTTGAAGATAGTTAAATTATGAAAGCAGATACCTGCGTTTCAATGATTACCGAGTGGTAGGACGTTTAAATCGGCTGCTTTCTTCGGAAAGAAAAATCCACAATAGTAGTGGCAGTCATTGTAGGTTAAGGAACTTTGGAAACTCTTGTCGATATTATAAATACCTTTATATTTAATTAAGTAGGATTCAATGAAAATACGAATTATACTTAGAGTTTTCAAGATTCATTGTTTATAAATACTCGTCACTCCTAAGCAATCCGATCGACCGATTCCATTTCTTTCGCAACGCGCTGTAAACGATCGCTTTATCGACAAAAATTTCGTGGCAAACTTGTATCAGATCACCTGGGAACCACGTGAACGTCGAAGCACTATGACATTTCTGTCGAAGAAGAAAGTCTCGGCGGAAAAGGACGAGCCACAGGAACTAAAAAGAGACCGAGTCCAGGTCATGCTGAAAGTTACAGTAAGATAAGTGTTCGAGCCTGAACTTGCTGCTCGATTTCCGTCCCGAAACTTGCCGCGTTCTATGTACATGTAGCTGTAAATATTGCACAAAAAGTAGAACGCTTTTAAAAATCTCCATCCCGTTTAACCAGATTCATTCTTTAGGGAAATTGAATCACATTAACGTAATCTTTCAAATTTATTGAGTGACATTTTGATTTCTCTGAAATCTCCACGAAGTCACATAATATAATATGAAACAAAATAAATTCAGGAGGTATTGGAAGATAATCGAACGACTCCAAACGTATCAGTTTCAGGTAGATAAATTCGACAAAAGCTAACCCTGGCAAATAATTTCAAATTAATTCGACATCCATGAGATTTTATGGGTATAGTTGCTTATTCAATTTATATAATATCCCGCGCAACAAAAGGTTCTGGTCAATCGATTTTCTTCTTCTGAATGAATGGTCTGGAAGGCGAAAGGGTTATTGTGGAGACTGCAACGTGGGGCTCGCTATAGTCACGGTAGATAAGAACTCCTGTCAAACTCAATGTAGTGATGAAACACGAACGAAGTACACTATTATTGGCTTGCAAAAAGTTTTGCTCTGCCTACTGTTCCAAAAGGTGAAGCTTTCTCGCATGTCCATGGCAATTATCATATTCATATACATAACATATAGAATACATCAACAATATCCTACGGAGTATAGTGAATTTCATAATTCATCAATTTGTTTGATCAAATTCGTGTGAAAACTGTAAGAAACATGTTTGTATATTTCTAACATATCGTTGGAATTTCAAACATTACATGTACGGTAATTTCTATAGATCATCCAAAAAATCGAACATATGCAACAATATTGCGCGTTACAGAACTCGGTCACCATCGACGTGACACAGGAAATATAAATAATGATAAACTAAACATTTGTTATTACGTACTCATTCCATGTAATCATTTCATTAATAAACACTAAATTTTAGAGAATTGCAAAAAAATGTCCATACATTTAACATTGAGATATTAAAACGAAAATAATTAAATCAAATAATTAAACGGTTGATATTACAGTTGAAATATGTTGTGGTATCGAATTTGTAGGAATTCCAATAACACTTCAAACAAAAAAATAGCTCGTGTAAGTTTGCAGTCGCCGCATATAGCAGATACGTATCATTATATTTTTCAAAGTGGAACAAATTTCCGGTCTCGCGCGCCCTACTAGTAAAGAGGGAAGATAAGCCAGCAGAGAAGAAAAAGGAAGGGACAAGCAGACGGAAAACCTGGCAGACAGGAAGGTGAAGGGAGAAAATGAAAAATCGCAACAGGAACCTCCCTGGGAACCCCCAAGATGCGTGGATGTCGTCGGTGATAACACGATATTATTTCACTACACAAACAGGACCGTACGTGACCACGATGTTAACTATCCCATTTTCTTCTCGACGGTATCGACGCTATACCGTGATGGGCTATTAATCAATTTCCAGCAGGTAATACGATTCTGCTACCGACCAAGACGGAACGTGGTTGCACAATCTTGGCGAATCGCCAGCCGTGACTTCCTATAGATTGGACGAGTTCTTGTGCCCTCTATTTCTCTCTTTTTTTTTTTTACTCCACGAAAGGAGTTGAAATGTGCATAATAAGAAAAAGGGATTCGTGTTCGTCTTGT